AAAGAGAGAGAGAGAGAGAGAGAGAGAGAGAGAGAGAGAGAGAGAGAGAGAGACTAAAATGTATTGTAGTTGACTAACAGTCGATGCTTAATTGACTTTCAGAAATCAATTAATAGTCGACTGCTGTCAATTATAAAACGACTGTTGAAAATCGACTTTAAGTCAATTTTCAATAATCGATTATATGCCGACTGGAAAAAGTCGACTATAAACCGACAGTCATTCATGTTGTGTGGACAACTATAAAGCAAACTGTTTATAGGAAGATTTGTCACTATAAAATGCGTGATATCAATATAAATTTATCTTTCTAAAAAAAGTAAAAAAAATTGCTAAGAACGAGCTTCTCGAATAAAATCTATCCAACCCAATTAGTAGTAGTTTTAATTTTTCTTCAATGATATTCTTATTGAAAGTCTTTTTATTCCAATCCAAGTAATGACAACTTTAATTTTCTGTCAAAAATTACTCCTAAAAAACTAATATTTTTCAAATGAAAAATTAAAATCCAGATGCTAATCTTAACTGATCAAGTTAAATTCTATCAAATTAAAAAATAAAACTCAAGTGGTATTTATATTTGTTATTTACTTAATTCTAATGATATATATTATTCAAGATATTATAAAAGATTTCATATCAACAAAACTGACACTAAGTTAAATTCCAGAATTTTATGTATCATTCGTAAAAAAGATTTGATATCAATTGGTGCTAAGTTAAATCCTATACTAAATTAAATAAAGAATACAATCCATTTTAATTGCATTACTTTGTCCATTTAAGTGTTATCGCAAAAAATTAAAGTTAATATTATTTATTTAATTTGATACATGAATTACATGGTTATATGAGATTTAACTTGGCGCCAATTGTTGCTCAAGAACAGACTTCTATGTATATTACTACACTGCTAACATGTTTGAAAAAGTGGCCTCCAATTTTATGATATAATAATATTATACGCATGCGTATTGAGAACTGATCCGCGTAACCATGTGACGTATGTCTACATCAGCACATTATTTTGAGGTTAACCTATTTAACAGTATTAAAACTACCAAATACTTATTTTCATAATCCAGCTATTATAAATTATTCTAATTTATAAGAAATTGAATAAAATCGCATCTTTTATACGTTTATTAATTGTCTTATATCTTTACCTTTTTATTTGAATTCTTTCTCTTCTAAAAAAAACAAAATTTTTCGCTACGAGATCACATCATTTTCATAAGGTTGTATGTTTAGCATGAACAATTGATGCAAAACACATACTGCAATTCCTTTGAGTATATATTCGTGACACATGCGCAGAATTACCATACAATTTCGGAGTCCATTTCACATAAGCTTGTCCTAAGGAGTTAGCAGTCTAGTAGTATAGATATATAGAAGACTGTGTCTAGAATATGACTAACAGAATCTTGATAATGATTAAAGAGACCTCATTAATTAATGCTCTTAATCATATTTCGCATTCTATAATTTCTAATGAAATCTTATAAAAATTGAAAAAGTTAAGATACTTTTTTAGTAGTAATTGAATAAGAAATTTTAAAATATTTTTTGTATATATAAAAATTTTACAAAAATATTTTTTTAATATTAGAAAAAGAGCTGCAATTTATATAAAAATACTGAGAAAAATTTTCACTAGATTAAAATAAGATAACGATGATGTAAAATAATTTATAAGATTATTATAA